ATTCTGATTGTGAAGAGGTTCTCTTTCATTGGATTATCCAATGCTCGGAGAATTTTCTGGTGCTACACTTTTAAGTGTTTCCAAAGAAGGAGAGGTAGGTGCAGAAGGAATGACAACCATGTCATTTCTTTCATGCCTAATAGGAACGACTTGCTGGTGCGAGGTGCTTCCTATATTACTCCCACTTGCTGAAGGATATCCTCCTAGAGACATACTTCCGTTTAATCCTCCCACTGAATCCTTGTTTTGACCATCTAACAAGTCTTCATCCTCTATGTTATTTTGTGATTCTTGAATTTCTTCTAGTACTATCTTCTCACGATTGAATTCCTTGAAGACCAAGTCTTCTTCTAGGAATCGTGCCTGTCTGGAAATAATGATTTTATGTTCCTCAGGATGATAGAAATAGTATCCCCTAGTTTCTTTAGGATACCCCACAAAATAACATCTCTCACTTCTAGCTCCTAACTTATCAGTGTGCAATTTTCTTTACATAAGCAGGGCAACCTCACACTTTAATATGTGAAAGAACAGGCTTCTTATTACACCATAACTCATATGGTGTCTTTTGCACTGATTTAGATGGAACTCTATTCAGAATGTATATCGAAGTTTGCAATGCATACCCCCAAAGAGATGTTGGAAGAGACGTAGAATTCATCATGGACCTAACAATGTCTAACAAGGTTCTATTTCTCCTTTCAGAAACACCATTCAATTGAGGTGTTCTTGGAGGAGTCCATTGTGACTGAATTCCCTGACCTTTTAAGTAATCAAGAAACTCCTTACTCAAGTATTCCCCTCCACGATCAGATCGTAGAGTCTTGATACTCTTGTCAAGTTGCTTCTCTACTTCAGCCTTATACTCCATGAATTTCTCAAAAGCTTCAGATTTGTGTTTCATAAGATACACAAATCCAAACCTAGAGAAATCGTCAGTAAACGTGATGAAGTAAGAGAAACCTCTTCTAGCTTGAGTTGGGAATGGTCCACACACATCTGTCTGAACCAATTCAAGCACTTCTTTGGCCCGCAGTCCTTTTCCAAGAAAAGGTTTACTCGTCATTTTAGATGAGAGACACGAATCGCAATTACCATATGATTCAAAATCAAATGGTGTTAAGTAATTTAATTTACTTAACCTTGCTATTCTGCCTTCATTAATATGACCAAGCCTACAATGCCAAAGATATGTGGTATTTTTCAGATTACTTAACCTTGGTCTTTTATTTTGTACATTTAATATGTCATGTCTACAATTAAGAACATATAAATCATTCATAAGAGGAGCATTTCCATACACAATACCATTTTGTGAAAAACAACAAGTGTTATTAGCAAAATGAAAGGAAAACCCCTCAATGTCTAACATAGGAATGGAAATTATGTTCTTTGTTATAGAAGGAACAAAATAACAATTATTTAGTTCTAATCTATAACCACTGGGTAAATCTAATATATAAGTCCCTACACGTTCAGCAGCAACTTTTGCTCCATTTCCTACACGTAGTTTAATCTCACCCAGCCTAACTGCTCTACTGTCATTTAGGCCTTGCACACTATTGCAAATGTGTGAGCCACAAGCCATATCTAATACCCAACAGTGAGAGTTAGTTGTAGACATATTAATATCAATGACAAAAATGCCTAAGCTAGAAGCACTCAGTGCTTTGGCTAGATTAGTACTGTATATCTCACAATCTCTCTTTCAATGTCCTATCTCTTTGCAGTAGTGACATACATCATTTGGTACCTCAGCAATGTGATTCTTCTGAATGTCCTTGTCAAACATGGCTAATTCAGAAGAGCTAACATCAAGGATCTCGGGTACACATGTATCAAATACATGTTCGATATTTTCTTACCTAAGAACGGATCGCATATTTTGTTCCAAGTCTAGAAAATTTGGTTCAATCAGATTATTTGTATCCAAGATACTCCTCAATGATAAATTCGACATACCTAAAAAGCCTAAAGAAGTTCAAATAGAACGGAATTAAAATCATATATTAATTCCTATGATCACATCTAGTTAATTAAATAATATGGACTTTTAATTATTTAGCTCCCACTATTTTTACATGCTCTTTGACCCCAATAAAAGGAACATGGAATGTTTTGCAATCATAGTGGCCAAAATCCTCATTCATACTATTACAGTCCCAGCTTGGACTGATCACTGCAATAATATAATGGGTAGGTCCCCAGACCAATTGCGTTCAAGCAACTTTTGGTTGATCAATTTTGTTTTTAAATTGATCGACATCCTTAAATTAACACTGACGCTTGAGCGACTCGAGCTAATTTAAGTAAGTCAAAACCATCACACGATCACAAACATATGTATCTATAAATTAGTTCTATATTTTGTCGAATGGAATAAACACTTGGGTGAAATATTCTTCAACGAAAAAATATTTCTACTAATTTAATTATGATGGGTGATGTCGTTATCCCAGATAAGACTTAAAATTTTAATTTATGGGGAACGTTTAGCGGGTATTAAATTACTTAAACAAGATGCTAAAACATATCATCAAATAATATGTTAATGAGATCCAACTCAAACAGATAAAATTAAAGCATGCAGTATAAATCTAATTTATAAACAAATACAATAATCAAATAATTGAAGGCATACTAAAAATAATAATGATCAGTTACATTAAAATAAACGTACTTATTCTCTAAGATAATAAATCAAACTTAATTAAAAGGTATGGGGGAATGCACAAGTAGTTCCCTCGCAGCAGGTCACACGTGTTTTACAAGTCTTAGGACTAACATTTGCAACATTTGCAAGAATATCCTCATTGTCAAATCCAATTCACAATTTCAGATCTCATCCTAAAACTTAAAAACAAAACAATAATTTCTGGTTGGAAACTCACGTGTCTGCAACTATTTTCTCCCGTTCTAAAATTTCCAAAATTTTAAAAACATCTCTTTGGGATTTGTTCAGGAAAAAAATCAGCGGCCATCAATTTCTTTATTATCTGCTTTCAGGTTTCATTGACGGAGGTTGAGGTGCAGATTCGAAAAAAAAACAAGAACAGAGGAAAACAATCGCTCCTGCTCTCAATATTGCTCTAATCTCAGATATAATAAAATCTAATTTTCAAATTAAGATCACGCACAACAAAAAATATCTATTTCAAAACTACGCAATCTAAAATTCGTATAATGTCATTAGAATCAGTTTGGCTCTGATACCACTGTTAGGAAATTGATGTAACATACCTCGAAAGTATGGCAGCGGAAGTTTAAAATTTTTCCAAACAGATCTTCCCTGATTATGACAAAATAACGAATATGATAATAATAACAGATCTGAGTTATAACTTACAGATTTTCCAGCCTAGCGGTGATAATCCTTGACCTTTGGTATCCACGTGATTTCTCCTTTCCGATAGAACGGTTAGATCTCCCTTAGAGAAAGGCTAGGAAATCTCTTCGCGGGGAAATAAACTGGTAATACTGAGTTTCGGAAACTTATCTCTAATTATGAAGGAGGTGGATGTATTTATACTAGTTCTAAACTAGTTTCTCAATCACAATGAAAGTCTTTCTAATTAATGAGTCCTAATCCCGCTAGGACCAATACTCCTTATTAATTAAATAAGTTGAATAAAACAAACCAAAATAATAATAATAATAACCACAATAGAGAAGTGGTCTTACGCCACTCTCTATTTATTATATATATTATTATTTAGTTTTATATTTTTCTTTTTAATTCTAAATTACAAAAGAAAATATCAACTTTATTAAATAATAAATACATCTTAATTAAGTATAATAAATCTAATTTATCATACTTAATTAATTCTATCAAATAGAACACTCCTTCAACATCATGAATTAAATATATTTAATCTAATTAATATTTATCCATTTTCAGTATTATGAATTAAATATTATTTAATCCAATTTATAATATTTAATTCCTTCTAACAATTCAATCGGAAGGTATAATCACTTATTATGTGACCCATAGGGCCTTATATATTTAACACTAATCAAATTAAGGTCTTAGTAGAATCCCTAGACGATTTACCAGACAATCTTAATATATAAGGACGTTTGCGAGGACTATTCAAACTTCCTGTAATATAGAACTTATAGTGATACGATCCTTTCATTCAGCGAACATTCAACTAAGTCTAGAACATGATATAGTGTCTATCCCAATAACTCAGTCTCTGTCTCTCAATCTTTCTAGATGATCCATAACGATCATATTCGATATCCAAAACGAATATATCTTTGCATTGACCAATGACTTTATGATCCATCTAGATATGAGAAGTAGAATGTTCTCTCTTAATCTATTATGAGGAATGAATCCTTTCTTGGCTCAACTACTACTTCATGTGCTTCGTGATGCACCCAACACATGTCGTATCTACCCCGATTGGAGTGCAAGCGTTGGTCATGGTCAAAGTACATCACTCCGCACATGTAGTACGTATTGACCTCAAGTCGGAGGACTATTACACTACTCTATACGCCGATAATCCCATAGACACGTGAATAGAACTTATCAAATGGTTTCTCATTGGGTATGTCAATATTCTCTAAAATATCTATGTGACCATCATGAATTACAGGAACTCAGAGTCGTGAGTTCAACTTTCCTAAAAGTATGATGCAGTCCACATACCAATCTTATCGCATATCATCAATATCACATTCTTGATGATCATTGATTGGGGCTATTTTAGGACCTTATGTTATATCATATAAGGTCCCACTTACTTATTGACAACATAAATCCAAGGGAACACAATTATGAATAAAACATTGACAATCGAAAACAATCATTCATATAAAGTGTAATATCGTGTATATATCAAATATATATGTCGCTGGGACATATATACTAACAATAACTAATCCTCTTCTCTCTCCTTCCATCGCATGGGTGTTGGAAATAACAGAGTGAACATAATCTAATGGATATTTCCAATAGAACCATACATGTTTTTAAATTTCATTGTCTGAAATTTCATCCTTTTATTTCAATATTGTTTTCATTATTTATACCGTTAGAGGAAAAACTTGGATACAAAGTAAGTATAAAATTTGTAAATTATTGTAAGAGATGTAAACACTAAACAGAGCAAGACTAGCAGCCTAGGTAGCTACTAGCACATGACGATTGAAAACATCTAATAGAAAAGAGAAAACATGGGATGGCCTTGAACCAAATTCAAACAGACACTCAATTTCCTTGTGTCAACGTTGCAACGTATCCTGACGGTGCTGATCAGCTTGATTCTTGTCAGACGACGGTGGCGCAGCCGTAGCATCCCGTCGTCGGGAGTCGGCCGCAGTCTCTTCTGCGCGTCGGGGCTGTTTTTGGATGTTGTAAGCACTGGAGAAGAGCTCAATGGGCTCGGAATCGGCAATCTTGCCGCCTTCGAGTGGAACGCCGCCTTTGTAGCTCACCCTTACGGCGTCGTCTTCAGACAACCTTGCCTGCGCCGTCCCGTACGTTATGTCATCCTTGCTCTTCGCCATATTTCGATCAGACCGCCCTTTCAGCTGCTTCTAATTAATTCAAGAACAAGAACGTTTATGGGGCTCTCTAATATATAGGCGGCCTGGCATGGCCTTTTTGTTACTAGTATGATCTTTCTTATACGTGGCAAAATATGTGATAGGTGTTAGTCCTTTATTTAGGAACGTGGCATTAGCCGTAAAAGAACCTCCCATCCCATGGCTTGCTTGAGACTTCAAATGATCTTTCCACAACATTTTAGGGAAGCAGCGAAAATAGTATGGGCTTAGTTTGTAAGGGGTGTTTAGATGTCATTCTTAAAACTCTGGCTCCTTCAAGGAGCATAAGCAGAAGTTGGAGTGTTTGGATGAAAGTGCAAAAGTGATTCTAATACTCTAATTTACTCCTAGAATCAATTGTTTTAGAAGATGGAGCCATGAGGGTGATCAACTTTTGAAAACTGATTCTTATTCTATGTTTCTGCTTTAAAAAATAAAACAGAAGCAAAATCAGTTCCAAACACCCCTAATTCTGCAAGCTCATTTTATGCAAAAAGTTTATGGTGAGTGTTATGGTATATAAATAAATGAGGGCATTGTACTTCTCAATGATATTAAATTTTTATAATTTTCTTCATTCATTTTTATCATCATACATTCATGTCTACTATTGATAAAGTGACATTTTTTTGTAATTATTTAAAATTAATTGAAAAAAGAAAAAATTACACAAATATTACTACTTTAAACCTCACTAACAAAAATATGACTTTTTTCTCTAACTTAATCCCACGATGTCATACGTACTCCATGTTATAAGTCACTTTCTTGTAACTCCCCATGACTTGTGGTAATATTTATGTAAAAATCCCTTGAAAAAAATCATTTGAATTTAGAGTCTCACCGAGAACTCTGAACTCATCCTAAAAAGAGAATTTCTTATTGTTGAGGGTAAATCCCGTAGATCCGAAAGCCCAACACGAACTTTGGATATATCAGGAATGACACAGAATCAAAGCGTGTAAAAAATATAATATCTGAACTAACTAACACTCGAAAGCTCACTTGTATTAATTAACCAGTCTGATTACAAGGAATTTCCCGATCGGTAAGTCGGAAACTATGCTTTAATACAAGAAATAAGAGCAATGATGCTATTCTAGAGCCTGAGTATTGAAATGCTAACCCTTACAATGACTTAAAACCTTCTATTTATACTAATGGAGAGCATGGGCTGTCCCATGCTGATTGGTCGTTGCTCCACCGACTTGGTCATCCATGCTTCCACTTGCTGATGTCATAGTCTGACATTAATTGCACCTGGCCACTTGTTGGTTGGCCGTTGCTCGAACGGGATGTTGGGTTGTACTGAAGATGCTGTCAAATTGGCCTAAGTATGATATATAGCCCGAACCTCGTTCGGTATGTCTTCTTACTGGGCCAACCTTTATTTGGGCCGAACTCCGTTCGGTATCTCTTCTCACCGGATCTATTCATCATAGAGTGATGGGCCCGCTGCTTGGGCCGGATATCTTGGGCCTTCTCGATCTGGGTATTGGGCCTTTAGGTCAATATCCCAACACAAGTCCCCCACTTCCGATGTCTCGAACGATAGTGAGTGCATTAGGAAGTATATCAATGTTATAATACCCCGAATGGCGATCGGGGTACAGAAGTAATCAGTTCCCCATGCTGCGATTTGACGACTGCCGCTTCATTTCCCATATTCATCATGATAATCGTCGTTTAGTCTTTTCATTAAACACGTGTTTAGCTTAAATGCTCCTAGTGACGTGTCGCTCTCTGATTGGTTCTTGACACGACGGTTTCAAGGCTATAAATTAGCCTTTAACTTCTCAATTCCGGGTTTCGATTCTGCAATTCTCTGCGCCTTGTTGATTCCCCTGCAATTTTCTCCCAGCTTCCATCGCTCAGGTAACTTCTCAAATCCGGATTCCTTATCTTCATTTCTGGCTCGACCGAGATGAGCCCCAAACAGCATTCCTCTGATTCGGAGATGGCCTCCCATGGAGATGACCGTGATGCCGCCATTGTGGACGTCATCACAGTCTCGTTTGCCGGTGGTTCTACTGAAACGGCGACGAATACCAGGGCTGAGGCGGAGGACCTTCCTAGCACTTCTTCTTCCTCCAGTGAAGATTCCGACGACACCAAATCCGAGGACGAAATAGCCTCCATGGCAGCTGGACGTCCCAACGATTTTCCTCGCCATACCCTTGACCTAAAATTGATTAGGGAGAGGCGACAAAAACTGACCTCCCATAATAGGGCCGAAATTCCGGCCCTTATCCCTGACCCGGTGGATTTCCGTTTGCAAGCTGGGCTTCACCCAATGCGTCATAGGCCCGGAATGACCATAGTTCATTTTGACTCAATTAGGGCCGGCCTTAGGTTTCCGCTACACCCCTTTTACATTTCTTTCTTCAATTTCTACGAAGTTGTACCGGCCCAAATTATGCCGAACTCCTATCGGGCAATGGCAGGTTTTATTTGCCGTTGTAAAGATACCAGCGCCCTACCAACCCTAGAACTCTTTCACCAATTTTTCAAGGTAGCCCCCCAACAAACCCACGGCTATCTGGCCACTAGTGCCCGAACGGGACACATCCTGTTCAAGGGAAACCCAACTTCAATCAAAGGGTGGAAAGACCGGTTTTTCTTCGTGTCTGTCCCGGATGGCCTAATTCCCCGCAAATGGAATGCCTTCCCCCACAAGACTCCTGATCCTATCCTCACTGAAGAAATTTACAAGGCGTGCTTGCTGTGGAGAAGGATAAATGCATGGACATCATGAGTTATCTGACTCCTGAACGACTTATTTCAGTCGGGATAGGTACTGCCCGTTCTCTTGGGTTTACTTGTTTTGAGAAACCAAGTGCCATGGTCCGGGCGGTCCTTCCCGTGCGAGAAACGTTCTTTTGTTCTTTTTTCTAGTTTCTCACACGCTAAGGCCGCTCGATACTAACATTGCCCTTTGTCTTTTTTCAGCACCAAACCCAGATCTACCTATGGATGATAGCAGAGTTATCGCAGCCGGTGGGGCTGGTAAACGAAAAAAATCCAGGAAGAACCCCCAACCTACTCCCTCCATTGTTCCTGCTCAGGATGCTGCCTCTTCTCAACCGCTTCCAGAGCCACAGCCAATACAGCAGGTCCATCAGGACCAATTCGAGGCCATGCTGGTCGACGATCGGTTCGGCTCTGACCAACTGCATCAGTTCTCTCAGCACTTCGACTCCGTTCGGGGGGAACCCTCGAATGCAGGTGAGACCCATACCGACCATATTACTGGTCAGGTCGAGCGGATCTCCTTATCTGATCCTGTCCACGAGGTATTAGAAAGGGTTGGTTCTACCGCGAGCCAGATCTGGTCAACCTCCTCATGGTTCAACAATTTTTCCCTTCCTCAGTTGCCGGTCGAGCAATCTGAAGAATGCCTGGCCTTGACCGCTCTGAAGGTACATTATTTTTTGCGCCCTGTTTTTATTTTATTCTCTGTAATCAGTACTAACTCTCGAACGGTGCTCTGTAGATGGGTTTGTACACCCTTCAAATGCGGGAAGCCCGTCTGGCCAAGGAACGAGAACTGATTGTTGTTCAATCTTCTGCTGAGCAAAATGCTGCCGCCGCCATCACCTCTCTGGAGGCCGAACGGAAGGCCTTTGCGGAGGAGAAGTAGAGGATGGATGCTGAACTCGGTACCCTTCGGGTCCAACTTGCAGCTTCCCAGGCTAAGGTCCTTGCCGCTGAGGCCGCACAGGTCAAGTTTGAAGAAATGCCATCCAGCATCCCGGACGGTCCCTATGAAGTGAACGTGGATCTGTCCGCCGCCCGGGAAACATTTAAATCCTCTGATGAATTCTCCATCATCAAGGATGATCATGCAAGGACCCAAATCCCGTTCGCCTTTGGGGCGTACTTGAAGGGTTTTCCCAAAGGTGTCGGTCGGCTATCGGCAGGGGTGGCCCTCTTGGACAAGGATCCTGAGGCCAAAAAATGGAACGACTCCATTGTTACAGACCTTTATGGTAAAATTGGCCAGGTCCTGCTGCGTCCCTTCGTTGCTCAGCTTCAAAATAATCTGGGGAGGCCGGTTCAGGCTTCTGATCTTCCCAAAGATGACATTATACAGGCTCAGTTCGAGAAATTTCTGCGAGCTCAGCAACGGGAAGCTGATCGGGCTGCTGGGAGAGAGCCTGAACCCCCGTCTGATGATGATGGGGACGAGGATGAAGAGGGAGATGAAATGGCCCCTGGCCAATAATCTATATGTACTTTTTAATTACTTGTTGTAATTTTCTTTTCTCTAAGTAGCTTGTACTTCCCGGTCAGTAGAACCGATGAATATATATCCCTTTTTTGCATGAAGCTTTGTGTACTGTCTTTTCTGTCTTTATTGCATGATTTACTCGCCATTCGGAATTCGGCCCGTTTTGTAGGACTTAACCAATTTCCTGACTTTATTTCTTGCTCAAATACTCCTAATGCTGTTGATCGCCGTTCGGGCATTAGAAGGTTCTGATAATTTATTTCAGACCATTTTTTAGGACTTAGCACATTCTGGCTTTAGATAATCTTTTACAACATTGATGGCCGGTCGAGCTTCAGATCAATTCTTAGGACAGCTGTTTTCTTGGTTTTCTTCGCACCTGGGCTTCTTCATAAGTTGGTAGCCGTTCGGGCTTCAGATCAATTTTTAGGACTTAGTCGTTTGATTTCAGATAACCTTTTACAACATTGATAGCCGGTCGGGCTTCAGGTTAACCTTTAGGACTTAGCAGTTTTGCTAATCCTCTGTAAGCCCGTCCGGGGTACGTGCACAAAATATGAGTCATAAATGCCCCAGATTAATCGTAACCACCCAATGCCATGTGTTGCTCATGGATTAGGGATTTGTGCGGCACTTTCCCTATTTATAGAGAGGTGCTTCCCCTAATTTCTCCTGCTGTTTTCTCACTTTTCTTTCGAGCTTTTTCTCTCTAGAATTCCCAGAATTCTCTTGCATACTCTCAAGCCTTCTCTCTC